AAAGATGTATAAATTGAGGTTAAAAAATCCCCTATTATACTGGAAGTAAAATATATTCGGTTAGGTATTTGAGAGGCTTCCAATTGGGTTTATACTGAAGCAAATGTAGTTTGCATTATAGTGATAAGTTCCTACACTCAATGGTGAGCTCAGAACAATAATTTATCGTATCTTTGAATCAATCATGGGTTTTGGGGAGAGTTATACTGCGCCTCTCTTAGTAGGAAAGGAGAAATTAATGTATAATATTCATGAATTAACATAACTGCATAAATTAACATGTTTACGATTTTAATTCGAACTTTAATTACGTTTCTTAGTAAAGTATGATGTCACTTAAGTATTTTTAAAGCAGTAGTTGTTATTCAAAGCACGTCTGCTATAGAAATGTACGTGCCTTATGGAAAAAGGTCGTAAGTACCTATTATGAAAACTCAATAGCCAATTCATCGTAAATAAAGACTAAATCTGCAAAATTTTATAAATGATAATATCAAAATTAGGTAGTTTCATGGATTGTGGTGCAAATAGTTATGAATGTGCTTTTAAAAATTGTGAGAATTACGGGTCGTGGTCGTTGTGTGCAATTTTTTGTTATGGACTAGGGTTATTATATGAATCACCGGTTGATAACGCAGCATACAGATCAACAAAAAAGAAGTAATAAGTGCGTTGTGGTCCAAATACATGACGCAAACGTTATTTTTCACCTTTGATTATGATTCTCTGTGAGTATCACTCCGGTCAAGCCGGTTCATTCGTGCCGAAGCATGGCCTACCACGTGAAACACGCCCGGGTCACAGGCTCGCGTATTAGTATCGGCGGTCCTTAAAACATAATCAGACGAAATTCTGTTATTATTTTGAAAATATATACATCCCCGTTGTGAATTAAAGACGTAGTATTATGGTTTTGAATACAGGTTACTTATATAATAATAATTAATTAATATTCAATGTTCAATGCCTACTAGAGGTATTTAAAAAAATATTTATTTAATTTATTCGTTTCATTCTCATCAGATTTATCAAATTTTGCATATTTTTCCATAGATATTGATTCCGTTATAATTTGGACGCTGTAGAGGAATATCATTGAGTTATCTGGAATTACATAAATCACTACTAGTAATAACTAGATCGTGAATTTGTCAAATTATACTGTTTACGTTGTATAAGTATAGTTTTAGAACTGTTTGAACTAGAACATTCGGACAAAAAGCTGCCTAACTTTTACAAGGTAAACAACAAATAAATTATAACTGGCGATTCTGTTTACGCACGATCAGATTTTAATAATTGCTGATATCGAGTATTATAACAAAAACAAAAACAAGTTAAACTTAGACATTCTTAAATTTATTTATACTACCTATTTAACGTTTTATACATAGGTAAGTACTTAACTCAGTGTAATAACATAACCTAATTGAAATATTTTAGTAAGGTTTGTTTAAGTTCTAATTACTGCGGTGAAAGCTTGAGTATAAAACCGATATTTCGTAACTACTGTGTAGGCGCCGCGTAGCGGCAGAGTAGCCACTGCGTAGGCGCCGCGTAGCTGTAGCTAAGCCACTGCGTAGGCGCCGCCTAGCTGCAGCGTAACCACTGCGTAGGCGTCGCGTAGTTGTAGCGTAGCCACTACGTAGGCGCCGCGTAGCTGCGACGTAGCCACTGCGTAACTAATCCATGTCCATAAAGAATCTATATCTTAATAAAGCCCCAGAAGATAATTTAAATATCACGCATGGTTAATATGTAAATCAAAAACTTGAATATTACAGTTACGTCACCAAATTCAGAGGATACTAATGCCTGCCCCTTAGTGTCTGGAATCAGTTTTCAAAGAAACGTAGTAGATTTCTTTATTTGGTAGATTCGTTTCCTTCAATTGAACAGCAGTTACAACATATAACTGCAAACTAACTCGCAAAATTGCGATAACTTTTCGTAAAGGATTCAATTCTAGATATGATCGTGAAGCTATGTGTAGAAGTTTCCCTGGGGGAGGCCATTTTTAGATGGGAGATATGTTTTCGTTTTATAGTACCGACAATTTTGATTTTATAGTGCAGATGCATACGGATATGTATAGGTTTAGTTCTTGTTAATACAAATTGTATAATAATATTTATGCCAATGTCAAATTCAATCAGTGTACACTTACGTAAAGAAAATAACACTAATTTCAATTTTGTATTTACGCGTAGAACGTTAACGCAAGTAATAAAATAAATATTTTTGTGAAATTCAGCGATTTTTTTTTTTGTTTTTATATGACGTATATTTTAACGTAGTGTACTTTTTAACTTGTTTATTTTTCGGAACAAGTAATAGTTATTACGACATAAATCCGAATAAAAGTGAGATAACAAAATAAATAAACAATTTATTAATAATTATTGTTAATTTTTATTAATT